TCTATGTCAGTTAAATGCACAATAGTCAATCATTTTTTATGAGTTTTGATAGGCTCTATTGTCAGATTTTAAGATTGGTCAGAACATCGATAGAAAACTTTCCAACTTGACTTTATTTCTATTGTTCAATTTGTCAACAGGATCAACGCGGCAACCATGCAGAGCCGTTTACTCACCAGTGAATGAATTGTGGACGGAAGGACTTTGTTGCTTACGCTCAGTAGAAATCGATGTCCCGTATAATAATCCTAGTTAACTACTCAGCAGTGAAAACAAAATCTATTGTATTGACGAAATGCTTCAGCATTTTCAATCTTTGATTGGTGCTCCCTTTGTTCTGATACCCTTGATTCTGGTATGATTGCAAGCATCCGTTTCTTGGATATTGGGGTATTCAGATGACATTCACCAGTCGGCCGAGTGGATCAGTTCGAAAATTTTGATCAACTGACCGTGGGCCAGATGAATAAGGAAGGTACGGTGGAAGGTGGAGCTGACTGAATTCGTAGGAGTTCCCGTCCAAATAACGCTGACTGATGAGCCAGTAGTGATGGTTTGTAGGCATTCATGTAAAATTTCCACTTTTGTTTGAAAATGGATAAGGTTTGATATCGCTTTTGGTAGTCAGTAGAATTTTAAAAATATATCAATTACTCCTACTCCTGCAAATTCATCTTAGTTAATTTAGGGGTGTTGTAGAAGTTGTATGGTGAAATGACTAGTGCCATGCTATGAGGCAGGTAATTTCAGAACGTTAATTAATCAATTACGCACAAGGGCGTGTAATAGGCGCCGTTGGAAAACTAAGTTAAAGTACAAAGGAAAATCGAACTCGCGCGGACTCTAGGATATACTGTGACGGGCGAAAGTTGAGTAAAGCATGTTATCTGCATGTCAGCAGTGTCTTTGTATTTTCAAAAAGTCTCATTGAGGCGAAAGCAAGTGTCATCATGGCCAGATGTCAACTGTGGACAATTTTGATGAATGTAGTCGAAAGGTTAATAAATAAAGAGGTTGAGAGATACACTCTCACACCATTAGTGAAGGCTCTAAGTGCCATCATGTGCACTTAATGCAACTGTCGCCTTGGTTTCATACTGGCATATAGTGGTTGGCTTTCCAAGTGTACACAAAATAAGTGTCTATACAGACATATGGACAAAGAGATCGGCAGAAGTGGTGACAGCCTGCAACGTCGTAAACGCTAACAAAGCTAACCCGCTTTTCTCCCATGTGTGACGACAAAGGTTCGTACATACCATCCTGCCCTATATTCTGTTTATGATTTTTAGAAGGGACTGCACGTAGCTGACTTATAATACCCGGCTACAAGGACTGGGATTGTGAGTTGACTGATGAAGTACTCGGCGGAAATAACTGGCTGGGTCAAATGAACAGTCAAGTTGTGTGCTTGGCGCTGCCATTTTCTTTTCCGTCATCGACGATATGTTGGGTAAAAAGAGGAAACTATGTTTAGTGCCACTTTAATGAAATGGCGTTGCGATTTTTTGTATGCTGCGTGCTGCACAGCATTTATATTATTCTGAAACTGATTTGTTCTAAACTTGGCCCCGGTTTTTCCTTTTATTCATGATTTTAATTTGACTCAGTTGCAAACTACTCCATCTCATCAGGTGACTATTACAATCGTATAATTATAGTGAGGCCCCAATCCACGTAGACTGTGGGCATTTATATCAAATTAGGTGGGTGCCGAAGATTCACAAAAAGTTTCTTGAATAACACACCCGTAACACTGATGCCTGATTCTGGTTATTATTCTCACCGAGGGACGCAGCGTTTGATGTTTCCAAAGTCACAACTGATGTCCCTGCATGCGGCTGAACGCACTGCCTTTTCCTTCTGTATTCCTAAGCTACTGAGCAATGCGCCCAGGTAAACATTCTGCCAGATTACCAAGTCAGTTTTATTCATCTTTCTATATTTAAGTAGGAATAGTGGTTCCCGGTGTTTAAGTGATCCAGAATAGTACGAGATCATGAACGGGTCTAGTATCAATGAAACTTTGACTGTAGTAAGCTTGAAACAAACAATGGAAAACACGTTAGTGAAATTCTTTAATTAAACTTGCACAAGCAGGCGCAACAGTGCATCAATACACCAACGTTTTTCAAGAAACGAGAATGCTCACTTTAGAGATGCATCGTTGTCCGAATATTATTGACCAGTTTTGTCGGTCTTATGTCACGTGTTGCGATGGCTTTGTAAGTTTTACTAGGACAAACCACCCACCTAAAAAAGATGGTTCTTTATGACAATCGGAATCATGTACACAGCTGAGGCTGAATATCTCGTTTGTGATACTTTTTTCAACGAAATGTTTCGCACGAGCTGTGCTTCATGTTTCAGCTGGTTTCATTGACAATAGTTAGGGTTTTAGTTCAGTTTTTTTTAAACCAACTACTTAGACAAATGATCCTACAATTTGAGTTCTAGCAGAACGTAAGTTTGAAAGAAATTCGAGGGTTGCGCCTATCTGATGGGCCTCAGGAAGAGCAAAATCAGCCGCAGGCTGTTGAACGGTTTTTAGAAACCTTATGACTAGTTTTCCTTGGAAAAAATTTACATTTCTAATTCTCAAATAGTGTGTGGAGTAGATGATGGCCCACTTATGAAAGTAGACTGCAAGAATACGACTGAGATACTGACTTATAAATTCAGGCTCAACCTCCTCTTTGTTATACTGGACTACTATTCCAAAATGGATTGTAGTTTTTGACAGCTGATACAACTGATAGCTTCTCTTCAAATGATATGCATGGGATCCACTGTCATATACCAACATTTTTTGTATCTTGGCATGAGGCGTGGTTTATTTTCTGGTGTTTTTGATTATAGTTACCATTTTGGAACCAAAATGTCAGCGAAATTGTAAGAATGGGTATAAGTCCATTATTGATAAGCGCATGTTCATGCCTGTTCAGAATTGGTTTCCGTATGGATGTTATCCGGTGTTCAGTTTGACCCTGGAGTCTACTCGGTTTAAGCAAATTTTTGGTAGTCAGGTTTCCATTTAAAGGGTAATGAATCAGTGTAAAGGCCACAGTTTAAGAGATACCTTTAACGGCTAGGAACTTTTAAATGTGTTTTTTAAATAGGGTACATTGCGAAAAGTGGTGTAGGAGTGAATGGATGAAAACGTCTTGGTCATGCAGAACCTGAATTTAGATTACTGAGCAACATGGATTTGTATCGGTGGTTAAGGCAAGCTCGTTATATCTAAATTTTTGGTAGTCAGGTTTCCATTTAAAGGGTAATGAATCAGTGTAAAGGCCACAGTTTAAGAGATACCTTTAACGGCTAGGAACTTTTAAATGTGTTTTTTAAATAGGGTACATTGCGAAAAGTGGTGTAGGAGTGAATGGATGAAAACGTCTTGGTCATGCAGAACCTGAATTTAGATTACTGGGCAACATGCATTTGTATCGGTGGTTAAGGCAAGCTGCATCGTTATATCTGAGACTGAGTAAGACGGGTTCCATGCGAAATCCAATGAAGACTATAGAAAAGCTATATAAAGAGTGAACTTGGAGCGACTTCACCATACCTTGGGCGTACTTCTCAGTGCGGCTGCGACCAGTATTGCGACAAATTCAAATGCCTCCACATAAACCGTACAAAGAACAACCATGGGTGCAGTGTGAGCAGATGAGAGCATGCATTAGCGTTATTCAGGAACAGGGGATCTTCCTCTTGGCTTGTGGTTTTCACGAGAGACAACCGAATCTCTCGTTCATGGTATTTTGCGCCTACCTGAGGAGCCCCAAGAAGGGTCGGTCGTGGGACTTCACCATACCTTGGGCGTACTTCTCAGTGCGGCTGCGACCAGTATTGCGACAAATTCAAATGCCTCCACATAAACCGTACAAAGAACAACCATGGGTGCAGTGTGAGCAGATGAGAGCATGCATTAGCGTTATTCAGGAACAGGGGATCTTCCTCTTGGCTTGTGGTTTTCACGAGAGACAACCGAATCTCTCGTTCATGGTATTTTGCGCCTACCTGAGGAGCCCCAAGAAGGGTGAAACCGGTCGTGGGCTGTCGAAGAGCTTTCAGCAACTTTGTGAGTAGTTTCCTTTATGAAAACTTCTTTTCCACTTGTCAGTTTGTTCTAGTTCAGGTATCTCCGAACTATGCCTCGTGAACTGGACACTCCCACAGCTACTTGGTACCGGAGCTAAGGCCATCTCTTCCTTATTCCAGAAAAAGTAACATCATCTACTTTACATGCGCTAAAAAGTTTGATAGGTGTTCACCTCTTAAAAGTTGGTTTTTGATGTAATGCGACAATTTATTCAAATCTGTGGTAGGGAAACAACTTAGCTGATAGTTCATTTGAATGAACGCTGGACACGGTTTATTGGTTTTCAGTGCACTTGTTGGATGACTTCCGACACGAAACCAAGGCACTTACTCAACAAAGGCATAAAATTACACTGCAATACATTATACTTGAGAGTCTTTTCCTGTAAAAGCGTCCGTGCTTTGTGCTTTTTAGGTCCTAAATAAGCCTGTAGTGTTTGGACACGCCGTGGTAAGTGGTTCAGCATTTTTACCCAGCGATTGGAATTCATCGAATAAGCGGGGACTGTATCTGGCTTTCAGTTCAGGGTGGTGAATTTATACACTTTACTTGGCATTTAATGAATTGGTGAGGAAGCAAATACCCCACAGCTTTCAATAGCCATCCATAATTCTTTTTCCTTGTTGTCATCCGTCCATATCATGGAAATCAACACAGCCTGAGATTTCTTGGAAGAAATACACGACACTTTTTTCGGTTTTTATGGATTGTGAAACGGCAACTGNTTGAAGAAACCGACGCGTCGGGATTCAGTTTGACACATTGCACTATAATTTAATGGGGCCCAGCGAAAACATTTGGAATTTATTTCCGGAGCTGAATTCCATCAATTTACAACAGCCTGAATCCCTCGAAGGGTGATACTGACACTTGTCAGTTGTTCTTCGATCTTCAGCTTGTGGACTAAATTTTGATGTGGCCGTGTCACTTCTTTACGAACTTTATGGTGTGATACAAACGCTGATGTATTTATAGTTAGCCAGTGACATTTTATTCGATGTTTATATATATATATATATATATATATATATATATATATATATATATATATATATATATATATATATATATATATATATATATATATATATATATATATATATATATATATATATATATATATATATATATATATATATATATATATATATATATATATATATATATATATATATATATATATATATATATATATATATATATATATATATATATATATATATATATATATATATATATATATATATATATATATATATATATATATATATATATATATATATATATATATATATATATATATATATATATATATATATATATATATATATATATATATATATATATATATATATATATATATATATATATATATATATATATATATATATATATATATATATATATATATATATATATATATATATATATATATATATATATATATATATATATATATATATATATATATATATATATATATATATGCATGCTTATCCTGTTCATTTGGGAAACCATCGGTGAACGAACTGAACGATATCAACCTCTTTACAGGTCTGAACAAATGCGTCAATAAATTGAAATATGTGAAAGTATTACATGTTTTGTACTTACCGAGGAACGTTAAGCAAGAGAATGCCATCGACACCCGTTTACCCTTGGAGATGGATACAAGAAAGGAGGGAGATTTATTTCTGGGATTCAGCAAAACCAGCTGGTTGGGGTTTCATAATGTACCCTTCTGCAAAAAGAACAGCTTAGAGAACTCCATTCCAGTAAGATGAATGCCACATCGAGACACGCAAACAAAATGTTTGGATCGGTTGATGCAGTCGGCAGGATTAATATCTTTTTTCAGGCGTTCTACGTAAATACAAGCTTATGTGCACACACACCAATACCGCCAAAATACCCAGTAAACACCGATGATATCAACTCGATTAGTGATGAAACGCTTGCAACTCAATAGCTGGACTCAGCGGACAAAACAACTATCTATACAAACCCAGGCTATTAAGATTCATGCTGACAACGGATGGTATCAAATATAGTTTGTTCCTAGAAAATTAAATATGAGCTGATCGGAGTTTGAGCAGAAAAGGGCGATTCTAAAGGTATCCACAAACCCGTATCGGGTTCTTTGATTATTCAGTAAATTATAAACAAACTGATAGTACCACTCTAGTTTGCATGTCACAGTAGAATCCGAAAAATGTACGGGTTTCCAGCTCCTCCATTGACCTGCTCAGGGAACTTTTGGTCAACTATATTGCTCAAGAAAATGACTCTTCCCTCGTGTTTGTTCCATATACCGAGGCTTTGTTTGAGAATAGAAGTTTAGCTCACTTGTTCTGAAACAATGGTTCAATTCCAAGTTTCAATAGCAGCCAAGCTAACTCCAATTGGGAAAGCGGATGAATCAGTTTACAGCCTTTCCTAAGTTTCCATCGTCTGCCACTGATGTTTTCTGGCGTAACTCGTCAAAGACAAGCAAGGTCCTGTTACTGAGCTTTGTTATCTATTCATATTGCGCACTGTACCCGATTCTAACATAAAAATTCGCAATATTTAGTGAACAGTCCAAATAAGTAGTATGTATTTTGATTCAACAGCAAAAATATTTAAAAGAAGCTTCTGCCCAGAAAGGGACTCCTCGCAGAACGAAACATGTAGACTGCCCCTGTTTTAGACACAAACGTGATCCCAATCAGGTTTGGTATATTTTCCCCCGAGCTGGTTATCCTGATTGGCTTTCAGACAGTTTTGAGCAAACGAAAGTGTGCACCGAGATAATACCAGTAAGCCAAACCATAAGTTAACCTGCACAAAGACCAACGACAGGAACATCAGTACTATCGGTTTACCACGATAAGTTTCGGTGTCTATTTTGCAGGGATATGAAATTCTCGCATACTGTACTGCTTTGCTTGCCTTTCTGTTGAGTTGGTATGCAACGATGAATTGTGCATACAGAACGAGACTGGGTACCTCATACATATACCTATTCCCTGCCCAAGCTGATGAAATTCAGCATCCTAAATCAGATGTCTGGATGATCTTTGAAATTATGCTGGTGATTTATTGTAGTCCACCACTTGGTCTGACTTTGAGGCTATAATTTCGACTCGTTGACCCGTTGAGGAGATCATTAGCCTGAGCGACCCATTTGACCGTGAATGTGCCCATTCATACGTGGTTTCTATTGGGCATAAAAACTTGCAGTCAGTTGGGTAAGATAACAACAACATTAGCATCGTTGCTAGCACGGCTGATATGACTATCCTCAGTCGTTCTATACAATTTTGTAACTTCAGTCTTTAACACGGTGCACCAGTCTGCTACTTTATGCAATAGAAAACACTGTGAGTGGCACGTATTTTTCTGTCTGTCATTCGAAACCATTCATAAATTCCTACGTTATTGCCCTCCAGTGCGATCTTTCTTGTGCAGTTCTTCCTGTTGGGGCCAGAAACCCCCACTTCTACTGCTGAAGAACATGCTGCTCGCATTCGACTATGGACATCCATGTTTCAGTGATCTCAAAGCTTGCAGTTATGAATCCAGCAGAGCTACCTTCTGATGCTTTCACTCCGGTTCGATATGCAGCCCTCGAATGTGTGAGTAATGGTAGACAGGAGAACGTTGGGGTCAGTAAGAAAAATGATAAACGATCTTGACACACTCGGATGTTGACAGATATTCGCTAGTCTCCCCCTTGCCAGTTGGATCGTCCTTGACAGGTAACGACATCTCTCAAAGTTTAGCAGATGAACGCATGACTTCTGATAATCACTGTATGGAGCAGCCGAGCGTGGTCGAACGTTTAAGCATTGAACCACTGGCCGGAAGATTGGGTCTCAAAATTTTCTGAGTTTCGTCATATGTACCACGCTGATGGTTACTAACGCGAATAAGCTCCTCGGCTTTTCAGCACACACTGCCTTTACTGACAGGACGAAATCTCCATTAACACCTAACACAGCCATAACTTCACTTCATTGATATCATCCCCTGTTTAATTTCATTTTGTTAACTTGGGTGATCTCTTGTTCATTAACTGTTGGACACAGCAGGTTAGAATTTTTTCCAAATATAGAGAACGCATATGCGAACAAAAAAATATGAATTCAACTCACGCACACACTTTTAGCAACAACACTTGATGAGTACTAATGTTAGAGGATAGAACACTCCCCTATAATTGCCGTGGGCACGCGAGAGAAGAACTAAAGGGTAACACATAATTATAACGCTTCAGAGAAGTGGAAACAACCCATGATTATTGCGCATGGGCAACAAGTTTTAATATCAGGTGAAAATGAATGGTCGAATGAAGACTTATTCATAGCTAACGATAGCTAAATTGTGAATTTGCTGACAAGTTATAAAGTCACTCAATTTTCAAGATACAAAACAACAAGTGACGAATAAAACCAAGGCCCATTCACTTGACAAATCCAGATCTCTGAATAGGATTGTCTAGGTTTTCAAAATGCGCTTCAGTGTCCTATATGATCAAATCATATTTCTATGGTGCTTTGTGCTTGGCAGTAAGCTTATTCTCTTGTCAATGATTTCTTTTGAGAGTTGACCTGATTAATCCCACCAAGGATGAAACACCTCTACCTTAACTTCCACAAAAGTTAACGTTTACCAGTAGGATGAACAAAAAGAGTAGAACTTCCATGAGACTATGGAAATAGTGGAGATTTTCCCAGCCCAAAGCTTTCAGTGTCTGAAGATCCCATCTGGATTGCTAGTCAAAAATTTCCTTCGGCACCCGAGTTAATCCGGGGAATTAAGCTCATATTAACTTAACCAGGGAATCTGATAAACTCAACGCTGTACAGAAGCGAATCTTTCAATCTAAATCTGACTGAATATTGGTTGCGGCACAGAGCTGTGGAAATGGGTAAATGAGGTGGGAAATTACTGAATATTTTGTCGAACTTGTGTCTGAGCTACCTCATAAAGTCAAATGGAAGCAGCTAAACATTCGGACAGCAAGGCGAGATGTTGATAGAGGTAAAGTTTATCAAGTGAAGATTAGTTTCACAGCAAAAATTCTTGGTGAGTCAATTATTTGCCAGTTGCCAAGGCGAGCTGACACACTAAATGACCAGAGTCTCAGATAAAATACGTAGCAAGTTTGTGAGGTACCTATGGACGCTGGTTTCGAAAGTTGTGATTCTGCGATTTACCATTTTGTACGACAGGTCGTTTGTGAGTATTTTCCATTTAAGCCTCCAAGGCACACAGTACTGTCACACAGAAGAAATTTTATGAAATCAAATGAATCATTAAACTGAATCATGGTGATTACTTTTCTGTCAACTTTTCCTCCAAGTAAGCCTACAAATTGATGCGCGTGTAGTTGTAGTCATTCGTAATGCTAGTACGAGCTAAGGGACAATAGACGCATCAAACCGTAATTTGTCAGTATATTGTGGGTGACTATGTAGAAGAGAGGAGGAAACTAAAGGTACGATTCTGTCAATATAACCATGATGGACTTTTCAGCTATCAATGACTCAATTTGAGCTGTTACTGATGCACAGGACAGCCTAACCCCGTAACTACTATTGATATTTGGCCTGCATTGACATACATTTCTAGGTTGGGAGGTCATGCGCATTTCTCAGCGCAAGACCTCCACTTCGCAGTCAAAGGAGCCTTGTTGGGAACATTGGTTTGGTTCTCTGATAATTGTGCTCTCAGACGATCACATTCAAACATGAGATTAAATCATATTCGTCCTCGATATTTCATTTTTTCGAATGATGATTAGGCTCCGCTAAACTGAAGGACAGTTTGAACAAAAAAACCACGGATGAATGCCATTCAACAATCGGGAGGCTTTACACACGGATTTAATTTTGATAAGATTTATTCTCACCAGTCAAATCAGTACTATCCTTACCGTAAGCCATTTCGATCGTCTAGGCTACGCCGATCCCCAAAATACACAGCTCCA